CCCCCCCCCCCCCCCCCCATTAGGGTATTCTGCCTAGATTTCCAGCCTCACCGAGGACGGAATTCAGTCACACTCACACCCTGGGTGCCATGGACGAATGGTTGCTGAGCCTCCTAGGCCTCGAGGTACAATGCACCCTGATTGGTCGGTTCGGTCTGTCTACTCCCTCCAATAGAAGACGGAAGCCGCCCTGGTTTTTTTTTTTTTCTTCCCGCGCATGCCTTACTGACAGGATTCCATCAGGCTGTGCGGCCAATAGCGGGTCGTGGTAGTTGTGATCATATGAGTGTGTCATGTGGATGGTTTGTTCTCGAAACCTTGCAGTTGGCTGGCTGCCCTCGGTAGGTCCCGAGCACCGATCCGTCTTCATACCAGGTGTACCAGTCTTCACTCCATTTTCTCCTTCGTCTTCTGTAAGAGCGTTCAGTAGGTATCTAAACAATAGTTGTTGACGCGCTCCAAGTTGAGGCCCTCATCCACCGAATGGAAACCTCCACCAATACCACTGCATCATGGGCATGGCTTTGATGAAAACTCCTCTCGATCACGTCTCAAAGCAGCCTCAAGAGCCATCCTCCATTGTTTACCGTATGATTAGTACAAGGTCTCCGAATGGCTGAACACATCCTTGCCACTGACCCCAACCTTGTCGAGGCCCGGCTGGACTGTTTGCTGGCGTTGACTGTGGATTGGTGGGCGCTCTTTGTGCCCAACCCAGGTGGGGCGGTAGCCCCCAATTCCGACACCCTTCTTGACAGCTAGAGTGGACACCGTGTTGGGCAAGTCTGTGTGACAATCATCTTGCAGCGAATGAGAGCCTAGAGTTGCCTAATTCTGGAAACAATAGCGCGATAGGTGTTGTTGGTCCCAACGGTACCGTCCACCGCCTTCGCCCACGCGGCGAACAGTTGTCGACACTTTGAGTGGACCTTTTTATCGGTCGACGCATTGTGTGCACGCTGCACGACGCGAGGGTTGGCATCCGTCGGTTCATTGTACCACTTCACCAAGGTGCGGAGTCGCGGAAAAGCCGTTTGGCCAAGCATGTCGTAGAAGGAGAAGTCAGCGAGGTTGCTGGTGGCAGCTTGGTCGAAGGTGATGACCTGCTAACAGGTGAGTTTGGCTAAGCATGATTCACTCGGTGATGTCAAAATTATGGTCATGGCATTGTACGCATACAGACTCACGAAAGCAGATACAATGTCTGGTAGAATTGTGCCCACTTTGCCGTTCAACATCAACAGCACACTCCTCTAATACCCTATCGAGTCCCACCCGACGATCGATACGCCTTGACCCTCCCATCCACCTGGCTGGCAAGACACTGTAATCTCTCGTTCTCGGTCTGCAGCGCGGCACAAGCTTCGGGCGAGCAGTCGAGGGATCCCAAGAGAACGATTCGCAGGATCAAGTGGAAGAGGCGCAGGAAGGACACTGAAAGAAGCTCCGGCCTTGGAGGTGTGGTCTCCGCCTGGACGGGGTCAAGAGCCGCGAGCCACGACGCTAATGAGTCTAGCAGCGTCGCTTTCTGCGACCGAAGTCGAAGAGCTGCTCCCGTCGAGTCGACACGTGATACTTGTCCGAGAAATTCGAGCGTTGATGAAGCGATTCTCGCAAGCTCTGTTCGCATGTCAGGTGCGATCGTGCGAAGATTGCGAGATACAGCGTGCTGTTCAGGAGGCGAGACCGAAGACTCAGATAGCGTCATCACACCCGTGTCAGCTGGGGCTGCAGGTTCTGCAAACCTGCACGGTGCAGCGAATAACTTGATGATGAAGACGTCCAGAAAAGGGAGTTGGTCAGGGTGTGCTGGTGTCAGCTCATTCGCGGCATCAAATGTCGGTCGTGCACGGTGCTCACGCATGATCCCGAGTCCTCGGACGAGGTGCTGGGCCATCACGGCGTAATTCTCCCGCACTTGTTCGATGCTGATGAAGATCTGACAGCAAAGCAACGCCGACCTTAAGCCGTTGGTGCCTAGAGACATGGTAGATGCGAGCCCCCCCAAGGCCATGCAATATTGCTGGAGGCCGTAGTCATGGCTCGGGGTCTGCTGCGCGGCAGACGCCGGAACATCTCCGGTGGTCTCGCGGTCTTCGCGAAGAGCTCTCAGAGATGACACTGCGTGCCGTATAGACGGATCAGTCAAGCTAGCCTGCAGGACCTGCTTGGCTTCTTCGTCACAGTCCAGCTTGACATCGAACATGGTTTTGGTCGAAAAGTACCGATTGAGAAGGTCGATGTCGTGAGGCGAGATTTCCATTCCCGTGTGCTCGGTGATCGATTCGCTAACACTTGACTTGATGCCGTCATCTCCACGGGCGTTTTTGGTAGATTTACTGGAACAAAATCTAAACAGAGACGCATAGCCGTCGCAGACACGGCCAGTGTGGACGCATTTGTGGCACGAGGGCTTATTTTCGTCACATTTCACCTTCCGTATCCTAACTCTGAGTCAGTGCAATCACTACAAGGCTGGCTTCCCATGCAAGCCCCCGCCTTGGATAGCTGGCCAGGGACGAGAGGGGCACTGACCTGCAAGTGCCACAACCGGTTTTCACCTTGGGTTTAGATTGGATGTGGCGTCGATGAGCCACGATGTTTTTGGCCATCGCTAGGTAGGGAAAAGGAGATGTGTTGCTCTGTTTTACAGCACCATGCAGACGATGGGTACTGATCGTAACAAGTAAAAATTCCGAACCGATGAATGAAAAGCTGCAACTCCCATCAGACGCCGTCTCGCCTCGGCCCAAACCAACTTCCAAATGCCGAAAGCCGAAACTCCGACGCTAGCCTCATTTGGCATGAGGAGCGAACCCACCAACCAGGCGAGACATCAAAACTGGGTCTCTACAGCCTGGAATATCGCTCAGTCAATTGCAGCCTAGAAGGGTGGAACCATATCTCGCAGAAGAGCATCTCCATGGCCGGTAGTCGTACGACAGTTCTGTCTCATTGGACGGCGCGCTTTCCATTCCTACTGCGGAAATGAGTGTCAGAGCCCCATTGCTAGTCCCAACTGTCTGTACCAACTATATATTGAGTGGCAGGCACCATGGTCTCGCTTTCTCATCAGAATGAGTATTGCACATGTTGAAGGCCATCCCCAAGCAACCTGGACTCGTACCAAAACTGCCGCTTCGCCTCAAGATGCCAGCCTTCACCCTATATGGCGCGCGCGGCTCGACCAACACCGATCGTGTCCGTCTCACCCTTGCGGAAGGAGGCTTCACCGACTACGACTTCGTTCTTGCCAACCTCCAGAAGGGAGAGCAGAAGGTGTGTCTGTGCACCCGTCTCCCTCTGAGGACGACGTGGCTCCTCGGTGCAGAGAACACATCGCTAACGGCTGTGCATCCAGACCGAAGAGAACATGAAACGTCACCCGTGGGGTAAAATACCCGTCGTCGTTTTCCCCAGCGGATTCACTCTGTACGAGAGTCGTGCGATCTGCAAATACCTGACACGGAAGTACTCCTTTCCACTACTCCCATCGGCCTCGGACATTGAAGCCACGGCGCTTTTCGACCAGGCCGAGTCTGCAGAAATTCTCTACTTTGCAGAACCGGCAGGGAAGATCGCCTTTGAGAAATTCGCCAAGCGCTTCATGGGCCTCTCTCCCGATGAGACCGTTGTTTCGGATGCGCTGCGGTCGGTCGAGATGTTCTTCGATGTTGCAGATCGGCTCTTGCGGGACAGAGAGTATGTGGCTGGAAATGCTTTTACTCTCGCGGATATCTATTACATCCCACTGGTCCAACGGCTTTTTGCGTGCGGGTATGGGGATGTCATCTTTGGTCGCGAGGCTGTGAGTGCTTGGTGGAAGCGCTGCATGGATAGGCCGGCTATACAGAAGATGGTGGCCGCTGACAGGGAGGCCATGTCAAATGCTGGCAAATAGCGTGGTATCAAGTATTCATCGAAGAGAGAGGTAGGCAGCATATTGCCCTCTGAGTTGTTTTGGCTTGTTCGGTTCTGGGACGAGTTTCGTGAGATAAATAGCAAAGAAGCGGGGGAACACCATCGAACTCACCACTCGATGTCTCTGAGCATGGGATATCGACTAGGATCGTGAAAGCTTTCCGTTGTCGTACATTGATGTTTCAAAGAATGAGCACGATATCTGCGCATTGAGTTGAGATGGCGGTTTGATATTGTCACCGCCGTTCAGAACGTCCCAACAATAAATTAAAAATCTTCTGCCAGATCCCTTGCCATATCACATGGGGGGTTTCACGTGGGTTCTTTTCCACAGTGCCAGCCTTTGCAGGCTGTGTGAGTGATGAGCTCTGCACCGAGTACTGACCAGCGCCATGTCCTGTACCCTACTTCCTATGACGCCTCTGCTAGATCTGAAGAGAAGATGGCGGTGGTGGTGCTGAATGGGCTATGCGAATCTTCTTTTTTTCACGGATTTGCAGCCAATGGAGGGGTAAGATGGCTTGGCACTCGTAGCCTGCTCCCCTTGCGCAAAACTTCACTGCGCGGCTGTATTTTGTCTGCAAGTCCGGCCCTAGTGTCTATGGGACGATCCTGGACTCGCTGCACGTCTTTCCCGGATGGCGAACGGTCGGGTACCTCGAGGCTCTGAAAGGGGACAGCAATATTGTCCATCTTACAGGACGAACACATCCCCTTCTGACACCCACGGCGGCGGCATTTCGTTAGTGCCCGACGGAATCAAGAAACTTTCGGGCGCACGCAGAGTCGAGCCACGCGAACTTGGAGGAAGTACGCGACTGGATTGTATCTCACTGCCCGAAGCCATCAACAGGGAAAAGACGCAGGAGACTGGGCTATTGTCTGCAGGTGGACCCCGGCGGGATCAAGAGGTAGGATTCTCCTCCGTTCAATTACTGGCCGTTTGTTGATCATGACCATTTCTCCAGGAGCCCAAAAGTCCCAGTACGTCTCATGAGCCTCCTTGAGAACGAAAGCGAGGCTGGGAAGCCCCAAATACCTTTGCACCAGGCACAAAGCCGCAATCTTTGAAACGCTCTCGAAAGTCAGCTCAACGTGTGGTGGAAGGGCAGACAGAAGAGGAGGAGGGAGGGCAGGAATTGGCCCCAGCACCCACCGATCCTCTTAGAAGCTGGGTCTGGAACAAGCAGTGGCCTCGGGAGTAATTTGACGCAGACGATCAAGTAAGAGAAGAGATCTTGGAGCGCGACAGATCGCTGGATGATGTCGTAGCGCAACCTCCTATTTCGGCCGTTCAATACGTCGAGATAAATGGCCTCAGATATCCTCTATCTATCAAAGGAGCTGTCAAATTACTCTCTGGGGAGCAATCGAGATCGAGCCTGAACGAAAGTAAGAGCAGACAGTTACACTACGCTGCTTGAGATCAGAGGAAGTTTCTTGCGTGACTTCGACCACAAGACTCCCAAAGCTATTACGGACATCTGCCAACAGCTGTTTGCAGGAAAACAAATTGTGCCCCAATATTCCTTGTTTCATGATGGCCTTTTCGGTAGACTTTGAAAAGGTTGATGGGCAGTTGGAGGTGACCCAGGGAGGCGGAAGATCAAGTAGGGATGTGCATGCCTCATAATGTGGTGTTTCCAAAGTCTTGTTTCTTGTTTGCAAGATACCCATGATGAAAATCAAAAGCCTGTAATGGAAAAGGCGTAAGCAGAAAGTTTGTAGTCGCCTGCCATGTACCTCACTCGTGTCACCGTTGGAGATTTTTCCTCAAAGTCATCAACGTGGCGTCTTGTTGAAGGTGAGTTCGAGGCTCACCCGTTTGTTGATTAGAACAAGGGCAACTCCGCCGGTTGGCCCCAGACCCTGCCTTTCCCCTTCATTCGCCTTCACCATCTGCCCATCATCAAAGCCACAATCTCGCTCTCTTCCGGATGCAGCGTGGTCGGACATGTACACACCAACGTGTTGTTCCTGTTCCTTGCCGGTGTCCGATCCTTTTCAAGCAAATCCCCGCTCAGTCTTAGGGGCGCGGGGGCTGTCTTGTCCCCTTCCCGGCTAACCTTAATAGTTAGTGGCTCGCTATGGGTCTCTATGTTTTTCGTTTCCGAAGGGAGCGAGATTAATCGTTCCGTTCCGCCAACAAAGTCGCGACCGTTGCGGGGTTGACCAACGCCATTAGCTAAATTAGGAAGAGTGTCGAGAATCCATGCTCGGCACGGCGAGGACTGAGGAGATGGGAGATGAGAGTTGGGAGGGTGGAACTTCTTCCTAAATGAACTGCGAAACCCGTCAACACACCAAGATTAGAAGTGACAGAGCTTCAAAAAAAGCGGTCGGCGTGATGGGTTCGTGGCTTGTGTATCCATGTGTCAAGGTGAAGATTTTTTTTTTCATTTCTTGTCTTCTCTCAATACAGATTTGGGCTGTTGAGGAATCGACTCGCGGATTCGCATGCTGAGAGTCTTGTGGGTTGAGTTCACCTTGTTCTTCAGCGGCAGAGACAGTCGCGCCTATCTATCTATCCAGGGGGTACCGTGTTCATGCCAGGGTCGACGGAGAGGACAGCAAGCTATTCGACATAGTCGGGGTCTTCTCACTCGCTGCGCAGTTCAACTCTCCTCTCGGAATCTTCAAACTCCCTTAGACGACCGCCAGAGATTTTCTTCCGGGGCTGGATTGTCTGAATGGACTTTAACCAGTTTACCAGCTCCATTGTCCCACACTAGACCCTTGATAGCATCTTCCTCCGATTCTCGCGCTTCATCAAGAAATTGGCAGAGCTCTTCAGCTGTGATCCGGATCTACCCAAGGTGTTCAGGAACATTGGCGATTTCGAGGGCGATGTTGGGAGTCGGAGCCAGGTGTACGAGGGGAAGGAACAGTCCACAGCAATTTGGATCGGGTAGACCTTCAGCAGTTCGAAACATCTGGGTATTAAAATTAGTCGATGACTAGGCATACATGTGTGTCCTGCGTTCTGGGAACTTGCCTGATCCTTGACAGTCTGCTCAACACTCAATTCCACTGTGCCGTCGGCCAAGACAGTTCTCTTCGCTTTCCAAGCCGACAGCCACGCTTGTTTGCCGGAGCGTTATGCAGCCTTGATGCCACAAACACAGTGAACATTTCCATCCGAACCGAGAATATATTCCTAGGCAAGATGTTGAAGAGCCTCCTTTGGCTGCGAGTGGGCGAGCTCAATGACGGTTCCGGGGTATTTGGCGCCCTTGTATGCGAACGAACCATCCGGATTGTGAGAATTCTTGGTTAGAAGTTCCTCGAGATCAATGTCCCCAGAGCCTTGCGCCATGATCTTGGCCGCAAACCGACCGATTGCTGTGTCTGGATGTTCGTTCGCAAGATTTTTGATTCGAGAAAAGATGACGAAGGATAGAGCGGCGTTGACCACTGCATGTGTTTTGGTCTCTATGCCAACCGAAAAGGTCTGGGTTGCGACGAAGTAGTAACGGCTGCATGATCGTGGGTTAGTCCTCGTTGTTTTTCGCTTTCAGTTCTTCCGGGTATATGTCAATCTCACCGAAACCCCTCAAACTTCTCGGCTGGTACACACTTGTTCAGATCGTCGTGCTCAGCAGGGCTCAATTTGAGGTGTGGCCAACTGTATGTTGGAGAAGAGGAGGAGCTGCTGAGAAAATCCGTGACCAGAGAGACCACCACGGAGCTAGACTGCTTTCGGCCGCACTCACTGGAAGACCGGGGTGGATCGAAGAATGAGGCGACGTCCTTTGTAGAGAGGAGCGCCGGGGAGGAATCTGCGGTTTGGTTTTATCAAACAATGACAAAATATGAACAACTCGTACAGGGAAATAAAACCATTCGGTCGATCAGTATATGATGAAGCGTCTGTTCTACGGTCAACCACAAAGATAATTGCCGCTGGGAGTCAGTCATGTCTCTGGCCTTTGTCTTCACGGACTTGGCATGTGAGTCATCATACCAGACCTGTCCGAGACATTAATGGTAACAACCACCACGAAAAGATGCGCACCATCACGCTCAAATTCTCAGGTCAATGGTTTAGGGAAAGGGAGATTTCCTGGAAAAGAAATTCGCGAGTGCTGTCGAGGCAGTATCCCCTCCAAATACCGCCTCCCTAGGGTTTGCCACGGTTGAAAGAAAGTTTCAGCAGATCGGGTTCAACTACAACCTCTCAGAGCCACTGCAAACGTTAATCCATGTCCGGCATCTATTCAAAATGGCCGCCAAAGGCGAATTCTATGATTCTATCTGACTGCCGCAGTAAACGGTGTTGGATACCCAGACTTTTACCTCTACTGCGCCACCCACCCCTACCCTTTGCGAGCATAAACTTTTGAAGATGAACCAGTGGCTTTGGAGCCCCCATGAGCCAAAAAAAAAAAGGTTTGAAAGAGACTGGACGCTGGAAATATCAGAGCGGGTCAGATAATAACGTGTCTTCGAGTCCCGCCAGATAGGAATCACTTACATCAGGCTGGAGAGGGAGACTTCGTGGAGACACTCTTAACAAGTGCACGGCTCAAGCGCCGAGATAAAAAAAAAGGTTACTGTGGCCAAGAGGCATTGTTCAAGAGATGCGAGAGTTGCCAACGCCCATCGCGAATATGTGAGTTTTGGACGGTGACTGTCTTTAATACTGCGTCTAGACACTTGTCGGTTTCAACCGGTTCGTCCCTTTCCCAAGACATGTTCGCCTTCAAATCGATTTCTTCGTGACGCCCTCCAGAACAATACCAGAGACTTCCAGGGGCTGAAGGCCGAAGAGACGAATAGTCTACGACCGTTACAGTGCGACTTTGTCGTCTTCAGGAGCAGAGATCTGTGCAGGTTGATTGTCTTTTTCAGAGATGACAGTATCGTGGGGATGGGAGACTAGGAAACTCCGCGCCGGTTATCACCACATACGGGACACAGCTGCTGAGTGTTATTTAATCCTTGAAACACATTCCAGGGAGGCTTAATCCATAAATTCTTAGATACGTGGCCCCGAAGCCTTCAAATGTGAAAATATATCACAGCGTGCTTTAGGTAGTAGTACGTGGCATCCGTCCCAGACTCCAGAACGATCGAGATCACATTACCCGCACCATTTGGGGTATAGCACGTACACCATAGATCAAACCAACACCTTTACCACGCCACTTTGTGTCCCTTTGATGGATTGAGATTGAAAGGTCGGGCATGTACTCGATGTGTCTGCGTGAGCGTCTCATGTTTTGTTTCCAAGAGAAGACATCTATTCCCCTGTCCTAACGAGTAAGTTGAGCTGTCGTGAAGAGGAGCCTGGAGTTGGCAGATATGCCCAACGTGCGCAGTCATGACTATTGCCCCTTTCTTTGAGGAATTTGTCGACCTCTTTCTGAAAAGTAAACCGTGCACCCCGACACTGCACATAAGAGTCTTGGGGATTCTTTGAATTTTCGCACAACGACCGAAGTGTTCGTATTCACGCGTATCACCCGAGATTCAATGGTGAGTGTACAACCTTTCGCCGTAAGAGAATCAAGAAATTTCGGGTCGGCGATCCAGCCTCGGTGTGTAATTCTCGTCGCTTCCCTTTGAACATCTGTCAGATCTTTGCTCTCAACCTCCTTGCGCGTCTCGTGGCCGCAGTGATCGACAGACTCCGTTATCCTGTCATTCCAGACTCTAAGTCTGGCGGTGTTGACGCCCTTGGTTGTAGCGAGCTCACAATTCGAGGTGGACTGGTCGGACTTGCAGGACGAGGGGACTAGGACCCCTGGTGAATTCCAGCAGCTTGTTTGCCGTGCTTCGAAAAGCGGTCCAAAAACATGCAGACAGGACTGGGGCATCAGAGAAAAGATGCAGAGCAGAGGTAGGTTTCATGACCCTGAATGGAATAGCGGTGCATTGACATCACGGGGATGTTGAAACAGGAGAGCGAACCGAGAGGAATCACCGCGACGCCGTGAGAAATTCGACGTGCATGCGTGAGAAATAGAGAGCACGGGAATATACCATAGCTTGCCGATAAACACTACCCGCAGGAGCAACTTGCTTCACTGAAGAAAGAAAAGGAAAGTTAAGCAGCCAGCCAGTCCACCCACATCGTCTGAACCAGTGACCGCCAAGGCCTGATATAAAAATCAGGCGCATCGTTCAGATCAGCATTGCCGACGAAAACAAAAACTCTGCCACATCCCCCAGTTGAACTGGAGGATGTGGTGAGCGAAAACCCGGGTTCGCAGGGTTTTTTTTTTCTCGGTTCGGCGGAGGAAGGAGGAGGAGGAAGACGAGGTAGGGAGGTCAGTAAGTAATACTGACTGTATGCCCCTTGTACCTGTCATTCGATCGTTCGGAGGAGGAGGCGGGTTGTCGACAATTCGTCGCCAGAACGCCTGCAAGCCGTGTGCTAGTTTGACCAGTCCTGGCGAGGAATTGTGCAAGGATTTCTGTGGGCTTAATATATACATGGCGATATTGATGAAATGGTAAAAGTGGGGCCAATGGTGAAGTGAATATGAGCGAGTTGGCGCCAGTCTCAGACGTCCGTGAGAATATTGAGAATATGCACCCCCAGCACGATTCATCTCCTCCCGTTCTTCAGCATTCTATCGTGCCCTAGGGTTGCCGAGCTTAGTTACCCAGACTCAACCAAGACTGCTCATTCTACATGCGTACATGCACACATACATACATATATACATACTCTGAGAGCAATGCATCGCCTCTTCTCGCCCAAACCTTGAATCGTGAAAACTGTCCGTTGTGTTCATGACACACACTCGCTGTCGTTGAAATTGAAATAGCTCGTCTCAGCTCGACTCGAGAGATCATCCAAGCGTAATGAAAGGAGAAGCCATGAATGGATGCCGGAAGGTCTATCGAACTACGAATATGACGGTCTACCTACACACGACAGTCAGATTTCCCCGATGGCCTCATACCGGCATGAATGAATGGACGGATGGAATTTGCCTGTTGCCCATGTTTTGAGGGGTGGAAATTAACTGTGGATGTGAGTGGAGACTCGGGCTCATCCCATCCTGCGGCACCTCCTTGTATTGTAGCAAGTCAGTAGACTCGAGAAAGCACTGATCGAATCGACACTGAAGTACTATACTACACTGCACGGCACTACAATGGCAAGCCACAGCGCGGTACGGCATCAGATATGAAGACACAAGACGTTTTGGCCGGGTACCTCGGTGGGTAGGTACTCGTCTTGGTTTGTATGTACGCATGTGTGTGTGTATGTCTCTCTCTCTCTCTCTCTGGAGAAAAAGCCCAGGCAAAAAGAAAACAATACTTCATCCCAAATTCAATCGAGTCCAATGTTATTCAATTCAATCCAGTCGTTCCTGGTTCCTTGGCTCCCGTTTCTCGCTTCTCAGGTCCTTTGGAATAGTCTCTGCATTCTCAGTGAAACTCGTGGCCCAGCCAAAAAAAAAAAAATCCCCCCCCTTCCGATTTGTGAACCGACAGACCCTCATGTATGCCTGTAATCCCTGCGCCTTTTTGGGGGGGGTGGGGGTATCGTGGAGTTAATCAATCAACGCCATTCGTTCATTCAGTGCTTGTCTATCCTTCCCGTCCAGTTCCCACTTCCCACTTCCCAGCCAGTCCGACTGTGTGGTGCCATGGCGATGTGTACATGTATACACAGGTATGTGTAGGTAGGTATGTCAAGAGGGAATGCCCAAGTGTCATGTTCATTGCTTCATTCGTGATTTGGAAACTTTTTTTTCGTTCATCATTTATTCACCGTCAAGCGCGATATCATCCAAGAGACTTTGCTGGCCTTATCACATCATTTAGTGCTCTGCTGCTGGGTCGTGTTGGGCAAGATGGCGTGGCGCTCCGCGGCTGCGTCGAGTATGTCTTGGAGAGTGGGGAGAGAGATGAAGATTTCGTGCTGGTCGAGACGCCCGAACTCGCCCTCGTCCACGGAACGACGGCATGCAAAGTCCTCCAGAGACAGGCGCAGGCCGGCTTGGCCGTCAATGATCCTCTCGCCAGACTCGTCGTAAACAATCTAGTCAAAAAAAGGGGATGGGTTAGCTTAGCTGTCGAATATTCATGTCTCGTGCTTCATCATATAACCAGGCCACTTACGAATTCTTCGTACCGGGGCTGTGCACCGATGTTAACCTCTTGGCCGACGACGTCGGGTCTCCAAACCCGCAAGGTAGCCGATGTCTTGATAGTCGAATTCTCATCGCACCAAAACCTGACCATGAGCCCAAACACGACGTTGACCACGCCGCGCATCTTTTGGTGGTATTCCTCTGCAAGCGCGTGGAGATCCTTGTTGGTTGGAGGGAAGGCGAGCTCCCCTACCACAGCCGGGTTGTTCTGAGAGGTGTGCCCAAAGCTGATATCCGGGTGGCGCTCCGATCCCGTGTACCTGATCGGGCGCCGGGCGGACGCATCGAGTTCCCGAATGAATGTGGAGACCTTGTTACTACAGGACGCTATATCTTCAAGTTGGGACATGATATTGTGGTGCAGCATCGACTGCACATAGCCGTGTGCGTTTGAGACGGGCGTTCGAAAAATCAAGATCTTGTTTGCGGCGTCATAGTCATATCGATACAAACAGTCAGCATTTCTCGGAAAAAACTCGTCAACGGCGAGGTAGCTCACTTTAGCATCTCGCCCATGCCCAAGTCCACCACTTTAAGACTGGCAAAGTCGGCCGAGCACAACGGAAACTCGGTCCAGTATGAGGACCTGTGGTACGCCTGGGGCATGTGGGTGATGACAGCTTGCAGCTCGGGTGTGAGGGTATCGAGTAAGGCGCGAATCCTGTCCGCAACAGGCTGCTCTTCAGAGGATGGTTCAAGTTGACGCGTCGTGGCTGGCGAATGAGTCGCAACGTCTGGCGACCAGGATACCAACTCATCCGAAGACGATGACTTGAAGGAGGAACTTCCCACGCTACCGATGGTCTGATCAGGCGGCGTCGTCGGAGGATGTGCAGGGTCGCCGTGGTCCTCCATAAACACAGGAACCGCATTAAACGGATTCATTGTGATGGTGTTGTTAAGAAGAACCAAACCCCATGGTTGTTCATGCATCCATTACCTGTGGACTTTCATTGTGAATTACTACGGCGACGCATAGAGAAAATGCGGTGGCGCATTTTATACGGCGGCGTAAACGTACAGTCGTAGCCCTAATCATCGTCTGTTCCGTCGTCACAACGACATGCTTTCACGTCACCTTGTCTCAGCAACAGGATCAAAGACATATCTCAAAGAGGCTCGTGTACTTTGACTCACAGTAAAGGTTGCCTCTCTCCCTTATCCAGAGTGCTGCTCTCAATTCATAGTTCAAAAATCTCACCATATCCAACACCGACACCCGCTCGTCTCGCCTCGACCAGATCCAGTCGCCAACCTACCCACTGCTTCAACCCTCTTTTGACTTCTCTCACATGTTCCACCATCTTCCTGGCCTCTTCCTCCTTTTGTGCACGCGCAAAAGCGTGCTCGTCAAAGGCGTCGTCATCGTCGTCGTCGAACTCCTGTAGCAAAGAGTCGTTGCGGGGCCGGTTCTGCTGGCTACCGGGAGAGGTGGTGTTTGCGCGGAACGCTGCGAGTCCCGAATTCAACACTTGTGCAAAGTTGGAGTGACGAGGCTGTTGCTGCTGGCTCGCAAAACTCCGCCGTCGACTGCTCGCATTCCCGGGGCCTGACAGATCCACCTCATCAAAGTCTTCGGCGCCTGGATCCAGAGAAGTCCGCGATCCGACATCATCGCCTCGAGGCTGCATCTGAACCCGCTTGTCTCTCCACACTCCGCGCTGGAGATCAAAGACTTGCCCTTCCAACTCCCGAATTCTTCTTTCGAGCTTCTGCCTCTCTTCATCTTCCAGCTCATCCAATACCTCGCCTCCTCCATCGCCGCTCATCACTCGCTTATGCTTTTCTCGTAATTGGCTATTTTCACTCTCGGCTTTCTCAATCCTCATGCGCAGGGCTGGGATTTCTCGGGCGGTGGCCTCGGCGGCGGCCAACTTGGTGGCGTGGCGTGCTTCAGCCTCCCGGTGGAGTTTGTTCATCACTTCGATTTTCTTCTCCAGCTGCTCGGCTTTCTTCACGACCTCGTCCCTGTGCGCGGCAGTCTCTTGCAATTCCCTCTCCAAAGTCCGAATCTTCATCTCCTTGCTTGTGCGCTCCGTCGAGTCAAGCACGGCTTTCTCACTAGCCTTGGACAGCGCCTTCTTCGCATCCGTCAAGTCACTCTCCAGGGCCTTCACCTTGGCTTCTGTCGACGACAATAACGATTGCAGGCCAGCAATTTGCTCTCCGTGAGCCTCGCACCCTTGAGTCTGACTCGATAATTGACCTCGGAGCCTCGAAATCTCGAGCTGCATGTCCGCAATTGTGGAGTCTTTCCTCTCCAGTTCGGCCTTCAACATGGCCGTATCCTCGCCCGCAGCACTTTCTCTCCGACTTGTAGTGGTCGTTGAGCTGGCCCGTCTTCTGAGCGCATCGATTTCGGCTCTCAGCCGCCGAATCTCCTCCTCAGCTTCCCCACTTGCTTGTTTCTCGGCATTCTCCTCCCGGACCTCCTCTAGCTCTTCTTCCAGCTTGCGCCATCTCCTCTCGTGGACCTCTGCCTCCTTGGCTAGTCTTTTGTTCTCCCTCTCCAGCTCTTCAACTCTCAAGACGGAATTCGCACTCATGGCAGCTGGGCTTAATGGCCCACCGTCCCGAAAACTGGTGCTGCGGATTTTGCTTTGGAGGCTGATGCTCGGCTGGCGGGAAGCGTGACGAGGACTGGTTCCCTTGGCGTGCGAGGGTTGGTCTAGATCGGCAGAGGGAGGAGAGACTGTCGCTGGAGAGAGGACCGTTCCAGGCGTGGGAGAATCGGCGCTTGCCGCCTGGATCGCAGCGTTGAAGGCTGCTTCGTCCGCATGGAGGCCGACGTCTGCAGTGTTGCCCACGACTTTATCACCCTGTGTTTCTTCAATGGCGGGCTGAGCCGCTTCGGCGTCGGAGGCATCGTCTCCTTTGGTTGTAGCCTTCTCCTGGCTGTCGGCGGCTTCGGCGTCTCCATCAGGCCCATCCCCTGCCCGCTCATCCCCCTTTTTAGACGCGTCTTTGGAAGCTGCAGAGGATTTCTCTCCCGAGGCCCCGGCGGCGGCTTTCTTCTTCTTCTGCAGCTGGGCGACCTGTGCATGTCAAGCGACGTCAGAGGATGATGGCCAACGTCTTCGAGTTATCTCAGGACCGAGGGGACGCAGTCAAACGCGAGCCACAGCTCTGGGCATTCGCGCCACAAGACCGCTCAACACGAGAGCCCATTTCTTACCCTCTTTTTCGCCGCTGCCAATTTCTCGGCCTTTTCCTTGTCTTCTTTCTCACCCATGGTGGATGGGCGTATCAACCGCGGCCTACTCTGTAGCGAGGCTCGTATGGATGTTCGTGGGTTGCGGGACGGCCGACTGGCGGAGTGGGCAGATAGGAAGGACGGGTGAAGACCAGCAGTATCTCGTATATAGCAGCAGCCGCGGGCCGGTCGAAATGCGTTGGCTGAAATACAATTGAAGGATAGAGGAGGAGAAGACGTGGTCTGAACGGGGTGATGAAGCCCGCAGCTGCGCCTATTGGCATCTGCAGAATCCGGAGTCGGGATAATGATGTACCGGCATCCGTATTTCTAACAGCTGAGGTCATCCTCGCACCACGTGATAGAGCAAGGCTGTCCGGGAAACCTGCCTCACTAGTATGAGGGAACGGGACTGGGTATACAACCTATATTCATGACGTGAGATAATGACAATCAACGGCGTTGTATCACGTCGTTAGTATCCCAGGAGGATCTCAAATAATTTGCATGGCACTGTCACACGCGCGCCTCAGGCTAATTATCGGTTACATCGTTGTGCTTGGAAAGCATGACCATTTCCCCAACATCTAGCAAATAACGCCCACCTCGTCTCTCCCCAGCTCACCAACCGCGAAAAAAAGGTGAAAGCCAGTAGTTGTCCCGTATTATATCATGTGATGGATATTATTCATCTCCGCGTCGAGCTGCCGCCGATCTAGAATGGTCACTGTCCTCTCAGTTCCACAAAATGACGGCGAGTAGAGCAGAATCCAGAAAAGTCGTCTGGTGTCCAGAGTTCCGAGCCAAGCGCTGGGTACCAATGCGTAAGTGGACTTGCCGGGCAGGCTCCCGTTGGGACAAAGGAGGCGGAGTTGCTCAATGACGACACCGCTTGACGACACGAGAGACGCCAGGACGAAGCTCTTTGACGGGACGGCCAAGTCCTTTGGCTCGGAATAGAACACACCCACAAAGTCGTCAAGGTGCTTTGCCATGGTCACGGTCCACTCCGCCGGTCTTCCCGACACCGCGGGCTCTAAGAATGGGAGGATAGAAGAGAGTGAAGGAAAGAATGGTTCTGTAGGAGGACGTTATGAGCTTTCAAATAAATATGTGTTGTGGGAAATGGGGACACGTACCATCGTTTTCGAGCATAACAGATAGTCTTACAAGTGAAAGTGCCGTAGAAAGTACATGAGGAGAGACGCGTGTACGTAGCATGGCGCGTGCCGTTTCCGCGGTCGTATTCAGGAGTGTCGTGAAGAAGTCCAACAATCGAGCTGATCTTGCCCTAACAATGGTCAGTATTTGGCCCGTCGGCGTGCTTTTCTGGGGACCGAGGGGGAAGTTACATATCCAAGACCGTCTGCTGGACTTGGCGGCGCTCAACATCCATGACCTGCTTCAGTGGGTCTACTCGAAGTCGGCAGGGGCGCTCCGGTGTGAACGTGTAGGAGCGACTGAAGTCGTGTAAAGCAATGTCGTGTAGAGATTGTGGGAGTCCAAAGCTGTCCCCTTTGATGTCGCCGTGGGAGATACCGAGCGCATGTAACACCGTCACCATTTTCAGCCGACTATTCAATACGCTGAGGTACCAACTTCCTTCAACGTCCGACAGGTCCGCATTCACGAGCGCAAACTGTAGTTCATCGAGATACGGTCGAAAGGCTTCAGGGACACTGGCCGATTGCAGCCGGCGATCTTGGATCCCAGGCTGGAGAAGGTCCGTCACAACCCCTTGACGGCGACCAGATTCCCAAGGAATGTCAATTATGCCGTGATAATTTAAAAAGAAATGTCGTTGAGATTCTGGGCAGAATTTGCGTATTTGTTCGTAAGCTTTCATCTCCTGGAGGAAAGGGTTGTGATCGTGCTTGACTTTCTCGAGACTCGGCTTGGGGTGAGGAAGCTGTGCTAATTGAGATACTGCATCCCCATCTGTATAAGGGTTGAACTGGAGAGAAAGTTAAGAGAAAGGTACCGCCTGGTATTGAAAGAATACTCACTAATTTGGCGGCACAACTACCAAAATGTCCTTGAATGAGCCATACTTGAGCGGGTGCCCCAGGTAGAGGCTGGTCTAGGGGTTGAACAGAGACCAGCGTGGTGCTTGGGAATCGCAACGGCGTTTGCCCTACATCACATGTCCACCTTCTTGGCCCCCCGAGTATCGCCTCGGTATCAGCAAAGTATTCCTCTTCCCATGACTGCGGGTGGTGCTGCGCCGAAAGCTGCCTCTTGGAGGGGATAAATGATACAGAGGCCGAAAGCTTTCTCTTTTGTTGAACTGAGAGCAGCATTGGGGGGATTGTTTGGAGGTCAAAGGAGTGGAGCTGGGCATCGTATATCCACTCATACATACCTATTATATATGCGGAGAAATAAGATAATAGGGGGTCAAGGGGTACAAAGGGTTGTTCCAAACCCTCACGCGCCTCTTCGGAGATCAGCATGTTTTACAAATTGACATAATTGTGAACAAACTTTGATCTGTTTAGCAAAGTGTACTCGGGAAGCAAGGGGAAGTAGGGGGTTGGTTGCATATACGAGTCCATATAATGCACCGTAGTACCCGGTGCCGGAGTCAGGGCGAGCACTAATCGCTCTTGCGCAGCTCGCGCTTTGTTGCCGTTGTACTTGGCACTCGGAATTAGCGACACAACGCCTTGAGAAGTCCGCAAGTAAAGTACCGATCGGGGTATACGCACAATATATTACAGATACTACACTCACAAACGCGGGAATGCGTATGCGAATGGAGATCAAATGGACGTCCCTCCCCACCTGGAGCTGTTCCCAACGCTGCTATAGTAGATATTCCCCTATCAAATCCCGCATTTCGAGTACTATGGCTGGCCTCCCCCAAGGACCGCAGAGCGGTCACACACACTCCAACGTCTGAGACCTTGCATACCAAACTTGTTCCTTTCCAAGGATGTCCGTAACTCCCAAAAAAACCAAGAAATCATACCAAGCCATCCCAGTGTTGAGGTTCAGGCAAGCTTCCGTCAATGGCCGCTCCCACCGGCCTTGCCGAAAACGCCCATGCTTCATCAGGTATCGTTATTAGTACAACACAGCCAAATATAACGCCCCGAACAAGACCAAAGTATTCCCCCTCAATTCCCCGTCCATCAAAAAGCGGCAGTTTCATCCTTCGTCAAACAATCGGAAATATCGTCGCGGTCACGCTGCCGGGCAAAGAGGTCGTGCGATCCCCAGGGAACAAGGACCTTCACACTTCCATAGGGCCCACCACCTCTTCACTCAACCCCCTCGCCGTGCTTTTGCTCTGGCTTCGCAAACTTCGTACCTCCTCATCGCTGAGCAGGTAATTGTCATGCTCGTCGACGACCGGCCTCGTTGGGGGCGGGAAGTCATCATCGTCGGACTGGGAATCATTGTCCTTCAATGGCTGTTTGCTCACGGAGACAGGAGCCGCTATAGGCCCATCATCCTTCTCAACCGACGTCACCGCCATATCCACATCTTCTTCAACTCGATCGTCGTGCTCAGCAATTTCGACATCATCTCGATCACCAAGCCAGTATTTTGCTCGTTTGTGTGCGCCGAGGTCGGGAGTAATCCAGCCATCCACCTCCTCGTCGGCGAAACGCTTAGACTTGATGGGGGTCCGCAACGCATCAATGGTCGGTACTGCCAACACACTGATGCCACGCAAATATAGGTAACAAACGCGCTTCCTCGCTTTGTTGAAGAAGAAATAGTTCATCGACCAGATCGAACCTTCATCATCATCCTCAAAGGGATCAAAATCCTCTGGGGCATAGCGATACACGGCGCAATCGCGCAGACTCATCTGTTGGTCAATCAGCCTCCACATTGCCGGACCCCACTGTGGTTGAGTGGACGGAGGACCGGCGGAGTCTCTCAGGTAGGAATTGACGGGCCGTGAACGAAGATTATACATGGTCGTGTCGACCGTGTTCATGACGTGCCGGAGACTCTTCTCTCGTTTGAAATCCGTGGGGCGCAGGACGTGCGAGAAGTCGTAGTGGGGGTGACTGGCATTCAGTGTGGCTATGAGGTACGCATAAGTCCTCCGCGAGCTGATCATCCCTAGGTTCCCAAAGGGGCTGCTTCGGCTCAGATTCAGGCTTGACGCAGCCACATGCGCCTGAGGCGGGGAAAGCGACTGAGAGAATTGGAGGTTCGACTTGTATTGGGCTTCGAGGCCATTTTCAATGTTCTTGTACAGTTTCTTGTCTCCTCCTGCTGCCTTGGTAGTGTACAGGTCACAACCGCCTACGACGTGGAGATCGGGGGTGGTAAAGTTGAGCGCGGAGGTGACCGTGTCAAGGTCGCGATTTGGCATAAACTGAACTCATGCGTTAGAACCGGTCAGAGTCCGAGGACGGCTAAAAACGAGTCCGCTTACCTTCATTGTGCTGGTGTATTGGGGGGGGAGTCAGACTCAGCGCATCGCACTCCGCGTGCGTAGAATAGGGAGTATCGCAGTTGCAACACTGGGCAATCGGTTCGCGGTGCTTGCTGGGCGCTTCGCTCCAATTGCTGGATTCGCAGCTCGGACGCAAATGATGAAGTTTGAAGAGGATGGTTGACCTGAGCGGGCTATGCGATCGCGAACAAAGAGATAACCAGGGCTGGCTGCAGAGGCAGCTCTCGGCGATTCGGATAGCTAGACGATGGACGCCTAGCAGGTCGCAAGATAGGGACGAGATTCCATGATAACGTGCTGTGTGTTGATGGATGACGAGATGGCGGAGAGGTTGAGCAGGATGAGGTTGCAAGATAGAACGACGTTGCGAAGCCGGGCGGAGAAACAAGACGGGGGCGGTGCAGTCACGTGCACCCCGCAAAAGAGCCAATAGGCGGGTCCCGCCTCGCACATGCGCCGTAACGGACGACGACAATGGATTTCGGACTTTGCACCCACGGCAAGCCCAATCACATCAACAACTGAACGAAGGCAATGAGGTCAAGAGCGGCTTGGAGTTGGAAGAGCTGAGAGGGACCGCGCGAATCGCCACAACATGGTGACTCAGGGCTGACTGTTTGCGTTAGCCAGCCGAGCAGGGACAGTATAGCTTAACTCTGGGCATGTTTCGATTGTCTTATAGCCTGAATCGTCGTGTAGTTTACATGACATGCTTCGGCCGCTCCGAGCGGCCGAAGCAGAGACCTTGTTTGCAAGGTCCATGTGTCCTTCCCTGGGTATCTCCCTAAACGCCATCTCATAACCCCTGGGATAGACCCACAGCATCGCGACAGTGCCCGATCAAATCATTCCGCCTCTCTTCAGCGCCTCCTCGGTGATCTGTGTAATAACGAGCTCGTCAATCATGGCGTCCTTTCATGAGGTGGTCTGATGATTTGGAAAAGGGTCAGGTGCAAATGTCCGCACCTCACAGGAGATCAGCACCCGAAGACATGCCACCGAACAGCACAGTGGCCGTCGGCATCATGTTCTACATGATTTTTGTGACTTCCTCTTCGACCTGATTCGACAGAAGACACAGGGGATTAGCCTCAACCACTACAACAGGAACCCGAGATGCGAGCGTAGCGCCGCAGACGGAAAGGCGTAGACGGGGTGTTGCTGCTGCAAAAGATGATGGTCTCGTGCGATAGGTCCTCCCGCACAGTATGCGGCACTCCTCACAAGGGGTAATATTCGATGAAATATCGACGCAACTCACCTCCATATCTTCAAGGCTATCCTCCTGACTGATGCACCTCAGCACATTTTTCTTGCTGCTTTCCTGCATCTCTCCAGCCAGGAGGAGTTCGTCCAGAATAAAGTAGGCCTTTTGGAAGTTAAAAATTATGTCCAGTTCACACACGTTTCCATAGTATTTATCCATCTGTTCGACATAGCGGTGAACGATCTCGAGGGTAATCAACTCGTTGTCCGTGGAGTCACAACCGGCGATGAAGAAGAGGGATGCATAGCGGCGATAGACAATTTTGGTGTCTGCAACGACGGGGTATGGTGGTCAGCCTGAGATCGAGGAGGGGAAGAGAACGGAAAATGAAGCAGACAGGTTCAAGAACGGGGAAACCGCACCTTTGTACTCGAGGAAATTGCACATTCGAGTCCGTCGAGCCAGAACCAGCTGAGAGACGTCCTTGATAATTTTGGCCTTGTCTTTGGGGGAGAGGGTGGTGAACCATTTTGCCAGTCTCTGGAAGGGGTCGACGGATTGAAGTCAGTGAAACGAACCTAGGTGGGCGACTACTCAGTGCATGGATGTTGGCCGTACCACTTTGCCCTGACGGGAGAGCAGGATGAGATATCTACCATGCGTTAGCATACCTCGTACTCCCACAGAATGAGAGTCCCTGGACCTCACTTGATCGCCATCTTCCCTGTCCGCAGGTCGCAAGCAAGGGCACAGGATGGTAGAAAAAAGGACCAAGAACCGGTTGGCGGGAAAATTCACCGCCAACGATGGAACGGCACGTGCGGTAAATCGAGCCACCTTGACGCTGCGTTTCTTGGCATATCACGTGATGTGACTTGTCCCACACTTCTCACAAGCTCCGCAGCCTTCTGCAGTCTAGACACCATTGGATCTACAGAGGCACCCAAAAGCAAATGGTGGATGCCATCCGTCGAAGTTTAACAGGGAGTGAGTCAAAAGCAACCCTCACGGTTCTCTCATAGCGGACAATCAATTCATTGGCGGCACATTCGACCAAGGCTTTTTCATACAGATACTTTTCCTTGCATCTACAAGTCCAAGATAAGGCTGCCTTCTCTCTTTTCCTCTCGCCACATTCAAAGGCGAAGACTCAACAACCTGGTGAGTACTCCGAGGTAGAAAACCTAGACGTAGCCCTTCAGAATTGCACTCTCAGCATTCAAAATGGAGGATCCGGCAGCTCCCAGGATTGTGTTGTGGCTCAGGGCGACAAACTGAATGTCAAAGATGCCGCTTTCGTCTTCCCTGATTCTGCCTACGCTGCACGCATATCCCCTTTCTGTCTCAATGTCAAGGCGAGGTTGCGGTCGATCGGCCTCATCCAAAACGACAATGGCCTGTTTCGGGGCCGAGGGACATCCGAGGAGTTGCACCTCCGAACTGTACTCTTTCATCGCGTCGCGGACCTGGTCCACGGACGGAGGGGGTCGGTTTGCGAATCGTAACGACACACACACTGTATGGCCGTTAAGCACTGGGACGCGGTTGCAGGCGACGGAAACCCGGAGAGGTTGGTCGACAAATGCCGACAGGTCCGCACTCAAACTGCCCAAAATCTTGCGAGCTTCAGCTGGAACCTTGGCCTCCTCGCCTGGGATGTAGGGAACGATATTGTCAATGATGTCCATGCCTGACGCGGTCAGCTGTGAATGAGTGACACTAGACAACCAGCCCTTGGGCGATTCATGGGCGGCAAGGCTTATTGATCCACTTACTGCTGACGCCAGGATAGCCCGCTCCCGAGACAGCCTGCATAGTCACCATGCTCACTGTGTCGATAGGTCCGAACTTTTGAATGAGAGCCGCGGCGGGGATAACGAGTCCGATGACGGCACAGTTTGAATTGCACACAAGAAGGCCTTTGTCTAGTTGGTAATGCCGACGCTGTGTTGGGATCGTCTCGATATGACCTGGGTTGACCAGCGGAACAATCAGCGGAACCTGAGGGGCCAATCGGAAGTTTTTGGCATTTGAAAAGACGGCAAAGTTTGCTTTGAGAAAGGCCATTTCAACATCTCCAGCCACATCAGCATTCAGGCCGGAGAAGATGATGTCGCAATCTGGATATTCGGCAGGAACGCAGCGTCGGACGGTCATACTGGCGACGTGTGCGGGCATTGGGGTCGACTGTTTCCAACGCACGGCATCAGAGTATTTTTGACCGGCCGACTTCTCCGAAGCTCCTACAGCTACCAGTTCTAGCAGAGGATGTTGAGCGAGCAGGAGAATGAACCGCGTTCCCACCGCTCCAGTCGCCCCCAAGACACCTAGGAAGTGTTAGTCGTCCACTGTCTTTGGCAGTGACTAGTGTAATGGAACTTCATACCGCATCTCTTCTTCGAAGACATTGCTGTAATCCCGTGCGGTTCTCAATGCTGACTCTGTTTTGATTTTTGGGGCTGAGAAAAGAAAATCTTCCGAGATCAGCCGGGTGGCTCCAACCGGCAATCCGCAATTAACGTGCTGTGTTTGAGTCAATAGGGATCGGCAGAGTCGGGTGGTATCACCCAACAAAACTCTCTTTGCAACAAGAGCGACGGTCAAGAGAGAAGGGAGTGTTATCGAGTTGCCTCCTCCGCATTGATAAGAAGATTTAATAGTCATACCTCTGTCGCGCCGAAAGAAGACTAGCATTTGTGATAACTCAGGTGGAAGGTTGACCGAAAAAAACCCCGCTCGCCCGATCCCCCCCGATGGGCACGTGATGTGTTACACGAACAAGACGGCACCGAGTAACTCAGTTATTCAGTAGATACACAGCAGAATCTACAAGTTGCACAGGTGACTATGGAGAGAAAGCGCTCCAGGCTTGACAAGTCATTAGACTGGGTATGGGGTAAGATTTCTCGGGTACGTTTGGGGTCTGAAGGAATATATTCGCAGAAATCGCGCCAGCCAACCTGATTTTGTCCCCTATCTAAGGTCTACATATGGCTTCCAGGACGAAAAGTGGAAGGCCAAGGCTCCCTTAATCACTCGTCATGCCAGGCACTTGTAGACCACCTCATTGTCTCGGACGCAACCTTCCAGTGTACTTGTTAGGAGGGACCTTCCGCGGATGCTTGGTTTGGCTACGACTCTGTCCATCCCTTAGCCCTTGCTCTGAACCTGCACTGGAATGCTTAGAAGTAGCACATTTCGCGCGCTTGGCGGCGGGCTCGTCGACAGAGGCATCAAATTCGTTCTTCTTGGATACTTTGCAGAGACGAACTACTGTCAGTCAATGTGGTTGACGGATTGTCCACAGGTGCGCTTCGGGCTATCTGATTTGCGTGAGCGATGAAATCATCTCGCACTGTTTTAGCTCGATCTCGGAGGTTGCGGAAACTAGTGACTCCTGTTCTGAAGGTCTCAATGCTGTCGGACAATTCATACCCACGAAGTTGTGTCATATGACACTCAACGGGTTGTCCAGGGGCTCTAGGCGCTGTTAGATAGTGACTGTATAGTCTCAGTACGGCCACTCCTTGAAGGTAAACGGCTGAGTAGCTGTACGCGTTGCCATCATATTTGATTTCGTCCGATTTGTAATTCTGAAGACTGTGCATCGCCCTGGCGCCGACCGCCCCGTCATGACGTGCTTGCCGCCTTGCTACATCGGCACGACCACTCTCGCCTTTGACCTCTAAGAAAAAGTTCGGTGCCGCAGGTAGTGATGTATCGTTGGATGGGACAATGTGTTCTCCGAGATCGTGGCGGATCTTCAGATCGATTTGCCGCGGGAAGGCGCCGTCATACAGGTCTGGCTTGGGTCTGGGTAGCTCGTCGGCGAAAGGCTCTAGGTGGCTGAATACGCGCTCCGCTGCGTTATAATGGTCTTTCCTCGGTTTGCCGGCAATGATGGACATAACCTGAGCCCGTGTAGTTGCTTCATCGCCCACTAAGTCACAAAGATCTTGGAAGTCTGCGAAATCCTTGTCATTGAAGCGTGAAGGAGACAAGGAACGCCGGCGTTTGGCCATGTCTACTCTGATATCTCCCACATTGTTGGGTTGTATAGTTCGACTAGGTTGCTTGATACCAGCGTCGATCAGGGCCTGTCCGAAATTGGAATCGTGGGCAGTCATAGGCTTGCAGCTTGTAACTTTGTCGGTAGATGCGTGCGGACGCTTTCGTTTGGTATTGCGTCGGGTCATTGTGTCGTCCTGGTCAGCTAGACTTGCATACTACACGAGGCCACTGTTAATAACGGACTGACAATAGATAGACAAGCGGTACTCACTCCTCGAATATGGGTCAAATCAGGTCCACCGCGTAGTGCAAAACGCACCACGCTCTTGGTCCTAGGCCTTGAAATGTCAACGTTGAGTTGGGGCGTGAGCACTGGTACTCCGGCCCTCAACGTTCTGTAGTCGAATTCTCTCAATGCTGCTCCAGTTAGATGGACCTTGGACAGCCGATTCCAGAAACCCGTAGTAGGCCACTGGTATTCCTCGGCTTCTGATGTGCGTTTCTTTCGCCGCAGCGAGGAAGGGGAGTCTTGAGCTCTTCGAGGAGATCTGAGAGTATTTCGCCGCCGATTATTTGCAGCAAGGCTTCCATTGGGGACAAACATGGTGTGTTGGAGGGCTGCGGTTGAGAAAGCTGGTGAAGAAATGTAGGCAGCTGCGGCCAGATTGATTTGTTTGTCTTCAGTTCTGCAGTTAGCCGTGGAATGTACAACAGTCCTTCCAAGGCTTCGATCGATTGGCACTTGGTAGCCAGGGACGCCAAGGGAGGCCAAATATGTATCAGGCCCGCAGGAGAGCATGTTAGCCGAGCGAGCCACCCAGTCATCCCTTGTTGATGTCCTTTGATGTCACACGGTGTCCTTACAGTATGATTTCTTCTGGTAGCAGCCTCCGATGGACGACGACCCATTCATCCAACACTTTCTCGAGATACGCCTAGGTGGGAGGTATCAGATTTGTCGACGTATAGGATCAGGCTCGTTTGGAAAGGTATACATGGGTACGATAGTCCTCCGAGCCACGATAAAACATCTGATCATGACTGATTCACACAGGGTGCGACGTCCCCAAGGGCAATGTGGTGGCTATTAAACTTGAGCACTGTTCGATCGATCCATCGCTTCTCAAGCGAGAGATTGAAATCTATAAACAGCTGAGGGCAAAACGTGGCATCCCTCGGTTACTCTGGCACGGCTCCCACGGTGAATTCCAGGCTATTGTGTTCGAACTTCTGGGACCTAACCTAGAGGACCTCTTTCAATACTGCAACAAGAAATTCTCACTCAAGACAACATTGATGCTGATGGACCAACTGATCCGGCGGATTGAAAGCCTCCATGCGGCTGGATACCTCCATCGCGACATCAAGCCCGAAAACTTCCTATTGGGCACTGGTAACCAGGGTAACGTGGTCTACATGACTGACTTCGGAATTGCGACCTCTCGAAGTGACTCGCTCTCCCGAATCACCAGTCAGAAGCCGGGAAATCAGCCTCAGATTGCCTTGGTAGGCACGTGCGACTACGCCAGCATCAATGGCCATTTGAATGTTGGTAAGTGCAGTGGAAGCATTCCGTTATGGGGATCGACAAGCTAAAACTAGTCCCTTTGTGCAGCTCCAGCGTGGCGTGACGACCTTGAGTCACTAGGGTACATGGCCTTGTATTTCCTTCACGGCTCTCTTCCCTGGCAAGGTCTGCAAGCATCCAGCCGGAAGGAAAGGCATAGGCTTGTCTACGAACGGAAAAAGGCGATTGCGGTGGCGGAACTATGCCATGGCCTCCCCACCGAGTTTGCGACGTACACGAGCTACATTCGTGGACTGGAGGACCAGGAGAAGCCCGACTACAAGTACCTCGGACGATTGTTTGGTCGACTCTTTAGCAAATCAGGCTTCAAGTATGACAATGTGTTCGACTGGACGATTCGGGAGTTTGAGAGGCTCTCCACTGTGGTTTAGGGATATTTCGTCTTGCACGCTTTCATATCCGGATACATGGTCGAGCGGGAATGGAAGCAGGCTAGATTTTCTAGTCGTGTACTAGTTGACTAGTTAGTGATCAACCATCCCAAACGGTACACCGCGCTAACGGCTGCCACTCAAACTGCCGGTCAGCGTAGTTTAACCAAAAGCACCCAAGGTGGCGCCATTGTGGGGGGTTTGGGCGTCCGAAATCGCGGGGAAGCCGAATCCGAGGCTTGTTTCAATGTCTTTATCAATTTCATCCAAAAAACTCTCCGACTCTCCACACCTTCATCTCTCCTCCCTCCATCACTCTCCCTTCTGCTTCTTGTCCTTAGACATACACTCTCCAAACAGCAATGAGTGACTTGCCCCATACCCGCCCGGCAAAACCGTGGGCCGGCGGACGGATTCTCACCCCCGCACAGCGCGAAAGAAAGAGAGCTGCCAACCGAGCTTCGCACCGCAACAGACGATACCAAGCTGCTGCCCGCACCGCCAGCCTCGAGTCCCAAATCGAGCTTCTAAAGGCCGAGATCGAGGTACTCAAGCGGCGAGAGGGGCCCGAGGCACAAGATTGCCTCACGAGTCCCCGTTCCCCCCTTCATCCTTCCTCGGGTCAGCCAGCTTCTCAGCTCCATGATCCGCTCACCGTTTTTGCCTCTTCTCCCATTGAACTTCCCGACCTGGACCTACGGCCTTCAGTCAACCTGACAAATGCCGACTCGGGCGGCATCCGATGGCGAAACACCCATGGTGGCTACAACCACAACTACCACGGAACCGAGCAAACAACGCCTCCTCCAACCTCGGCGACGAGCTGTCAAGAGATTTTCAACCTTGTCATCTCCCAAGCACGCCGATTGTCAGCGTTTCAGGTGTCGACAGACGACACCCTGAACCAGGACATGTTGGTGCGGGCCCTCGTCAACGGATGGGCTGATGTCCTGATGCAGTACGGCGGGACCGGCGCCCCGTGCCCTCTGTGGAGCCTCCTGCACTACCTCGACCGACGCATCTTCTGCAAGAGCGGATTCATGACGCGCCTGTGCACGCTGCGCATGACACACGCCATGCTGCTGTGCTTCGTGGGCGCCAGCTCCTTTCGGGACCTGCCGGCGTGGTACCGGCCGCGCCCGTCGCAGCACACCATCCGGCACGCCCTCGCCGTCGACGTGCTCCCCTGGCCCGGCGTGCGGGAGCGGGCCGTGCATGCCCAAGGGCTGACCCGGCAGAACCAGTTCTGGACGGACCTCGTCCACCGCTTCCGCTTCCACTGGCCGTACCACCCGACCGAGGCGGTCCAGCTCGACGCGGACACGGGCCTCTTTGCCCTCTCCGGCCTGTTTCTGAACCAGGTGCACAACATCAACATGTGGAAGGTCGACCTGAGGTTCTTCGACTTCTTCCCGGACCTGTACGACGACATCATGCCCTCGCTCGACGGCATCGAGAGGCCCCTCTCCTCCTGCATCCTCCCGCCCTGCACCGTCGGACCGACCCTCCACGTGTCGACCTCGACCCCTGGGGTGCAGATGGTGGGCGGTTTCGCCGCGCTCGACGGAGATCACATCCCCGCGCTGCCGTTACCAGAGACTTCAAGCGACGATGTGTCGTCAGAGCCCAAGGAGAGACAACACGCTTCACTGGCCATGTTAACGCCCTTGACGCAACAGCAACAGCAACTATTATCACTTCAACATGGCGATCTGGGTAGACGAGGCGAAACAAGCGTCAGATGGGGGGTACTCCATCCATCCTGATTCACATATCTATATATCAAGAGCGCGCGCCCACGACAGAGAGAGAGAAGAGAAAGAGGCGGGGACATAGGATATGAGACAGGTCATAAAATTCCACGGGTCAGCACCACCCCCGGCTACTCACGATACGCGAAGAGAGGGAGAAAATCCGTCGGACAGATCACGATCATGGACGGGCAAGATCACATCAAGGTGACTCGGTCCGGGCAGGGTACACCTCCCGCCACGATCTGAGCGATAATCACCCACGGAGCGAGTGAGGTTCCCATGCGGGGAGATGTCGAGTATATGTGTGCCTATCCAGGCAGGGGAGGATGATCATGCGCTGTCGCGGCGAGATTGGTTATCGGATCGTTTCGTTCTTGGTGATTGATACAGACGTCCAGGACGGTTGTGATCACGTGAGGGGCAGACGGGTGTCGTGGTGAACAGAAACCCGTTGACCGAAGAAACCAGAGGAGCCAGCGAGCGAGCGAGGGTTGATCAAGAAGGGAGGCAACGCTGGAGATTGAGCATGGGATTACCGATGTGACTAGTATCTGTCTGTCTGTCTTGTCTATTCTCTGCTGGACTCTGCTGGGTTGTGCCAGTCTATTAATGAGGCACACGACCCGGTATCATCCTTGACTATCTGGCCTTCTCGGTCCCATACCTCCCACCTTGTAAAAGCATGAATGGAACCTCAATCGATACACCTGTCATGCTTCTCTATTCTATATCACAAATGTCACAAGCGCCTGCGCCTATCTTGCCCCCTTCGCCGTCGTTGGCGGAGTTGTGTTGTTGGCCACACCCCGCTTCCTCTCGATCTCCTCAATCCGTTCCTGCTCCGCCTTTGCCGCGAGCTCCCTTTTACGCTTGTCGTCCCTTTCAACCTGATCGGGTCGCTTGATGGCAATATCCTTGGGACGGAAGTCGCTGAACAAGTACTTGAATATTTGCTCCACAATCCAACATCCCACAAAGTCAGCAACCATCAGAGTCGTCAGGGCCCACTTGAACTCGCTGGTGAACGGCACCAAGCGTAACTTCTCGCTGAGCTCCGGCAAGAATTCGGTACTTCCCGCAAAGGCCACAAACGAGCACGCCAGAAGTCCCCAGTACATACCTCGGTTCTCCCGGATGCTTTCGCGGAAAGGCCGTCCTTGGTAATTGATTGCAAAGGTGGACACTTGTTGGATCAGTTGCATGAGATAGACGGCGCTGTTGAGCAACGAAGGTTCGAATTCGCCTTCGAGGTCGATCTCATCGGATGGCGGGACGATTGAATAGACAACGTTGGAAAGATAGATCAGTGTCGCGCAGTGGATTGCAAATTGCCCCAGTACCGATCCAAGGATATAAGCATTTAAGATGTTCGGCTGTGGTCGTTCGCGCGAAAGAGCTTCCACAGGTTTGGCCCGGGAGATAGAAAGGAAGCACACGGACATCAACATTCCGCTGATTGTCACCTGACCATCGCCGAACTTGATGCCTGCCAGGTAGATGACAGACAAGCTGTAGGCGCTGATCAAACAATTGAGAGCGAGGATCTTGTACATCTGAATGGTCGCCACAAGGGTACATCGACCCTGCCGGATGATGTTGGGGATTGCTATAACGTTGGCCAGCTTGCTGGTAAACGGAGCTGCAACGGAGGCATCACCCAGTTTGATTGTAGGTGGCTCGCCATCATCAAGTTCAGTTTCCATCATGCTAGAGGTAAACTTGTCCGCCCAATTTGCCGCCTTCTGTTGTGCTTCTTGTTGGCGTCGTTGCTGAGGTGTCAAGTTGGCGTTCGACTGTTGGATTGCTTGAGCACCAGGTGAGGTGATGGTCTCCACAGTGCCATTCTCAGCGTCGCCACTCTCCAGATTGATACCTTTTTGCTCGGCGATTTTCTTGACTGCCTTTTCATGGTGAGGATTTCGCGGGCCAGGCGGATAGAGATGTGCAATTCCGATGGGAACCGGCGGAGGCGGCTGATTGAATCTTTGCATCAGCTGCACTTGCTTTTCATATATCTCCTTCATTTTCGTGGTCCGGAAATGTTCACCGATCTTATTGAGGGCGTCTTGGGAGCCATTGAGGAGAGCCACGCCAATGTGGGCTTGCTTCAGCGCGCCGACATCGTTCGTCCCGTCGCCACACATCAGCGTAGTGTAGCCTTGGTCTTTGAGACCGATCAAAATCTCTTCCTTCTGCTTCGGCGAAACTCGGGCGTAGACCCAGGTATGTCTCAGCAACGACATGAATGCTTTTTGGCCGCTGAATTTGGCAAGTGCATAACCAGTAACGCATAAGTCCTTGGTCTCAAGAATCTTCGGATCCAGATCGGCCGTGGGGTCAACAGGGATGATGGTTTTCTCGTCAACGCTGCGCCAGACGAGTTTGGTCCCCGAGTCATCGTGCTCCGGAGCATCCAGAATCAAACAGTCGCGGTCGACGATTTCGACCTCTCTGGCAACATGAACAGCGGTCAGCGGGTTGTCTCCGGTGATCATCACGACGCGGTGACTGCTCTCGTTCAGCATCTGAATGGCCCTGATTGCATCTTCCTTTAGGGGAGTCTGAAGAACCAAGAAACCCGCAAAGTGCAGATCACGCTCGACCTCTTCGCGTTTGAGATCATTGATGCGCTTCTGGCCTATCTCAGCCTCTGTTGAGAGGTATTTGTACCCAAGAGCTAGCACCCGGGCTCCGTTGCGTGTGAAGTACTTGAACGTCTCCTCATACTTCGGCGGTGTCTCAACCAGCATCTTTTGGATGGTTTCCGGAGCGCCTTTGACACCCACAAAAGTGCCCTTCGCCTTCCGACCAGAGTTGGGATCAGTCATTAGAACTGTAGCCACAGAACTCATACGCTTGAGAGCCGACGAGAATTGAAACCGCCGTTTGATTTGAACGACATGCGAGGCACCCGCTGTCGAGAATGGTTTGGGTTTCTTCGATTTGGGCGGAGGAGTGCTGATCAAAGTGTCGTTGTGGCCAAGGGTCCAGTTTAGAGCGTTGAGGGTGGCCTTTTCCATAGGATCACCGACAATGTCCCCTTCCTCCAGTTTGACCAAGGCGTGAGCGGTTGCCAAAACCAGTGTGGTATGAATGCCGCAATCTGGGACCTTGGTGACTGAGGACTGCGCACCGTCCGCTTCGGTTTGGGCACTCTTCTTCCCCAGGCTAAGACCGGCAATACCGTCAACGACGAGATCCTCGCCGGTCAACGTACCAGTCTTGTCGAAACAAGCGACGTCCACACGTCCGGCGTATGGGATTCGGAAGGGTTCTGTACAGAAGATGGCAAATTTGCTGAGCGCTGCCAGGCTGGTATTGACCGCTAAGGACAACTCCATAGGCAATTCAGGCGGCACGACACTTGTGACGATCAGGATGCAGTCGAGCAGGAGCTTGGATCGCTTTCTGTTGTTCTTGACCCCTTCCTGCCACACATACCAGGAGGCCGCAAGCGCAAAGATCAGAAGGAAGAGAATGAAGATCAGGGCCTCAGCGTTATTGGCAGAGACACGCTCTGTCGAGTAGATCATGGTCCGCACGAGACTTCCTTGACTGGTTTCGAACCCGGTCTTGAGCACAACCGCCATGGCGCCATTGTCAGGTGGTGGAGGGACACCCGAGCGCAACTGCGGAACGGCTTCCGGCGCTTCCTCGCTGGCGGCGGGATGGGTTATCTGAAGGACCTTTGTACCTCCCCAGAGAAAAGCATTCTTATCCAATCCCTCTGGTTCGATTGTCGCGTCTGCGGGACGGAGAAGGATTGACTCCTTGAGAAGTGGCGTGCTTTCCCCCGACAGCATAGCCTCGTTCACAATGGCAGTCCCTTCAATAAGAAGCATGTCGCAGGCAACTCCTGAATCTTCTTGTGTTCGGCCCACCGACACGAGATCGCCAGGTAGCAGTTTGTCGCTCTTGATCTCGACCCACTTGTTGACACGGTACACCCAGATATCGTACGGCTTAATGCTCATTCCTCGAAACTCATTCAATGTCCGCTGTCTTTGCCAGACCACTGTGCTCTCAAAAGCTACAAGCATGAACAGCGTGAACAGCGAGTAGTACCAATAGTCATCGAGCAACCAGAGACCAACGCAGAACACTTGGAAAATGAAGAATGGCGCGACAGCATGCTCTTTCCATAGCTCCGTAAATGTTGGAACAGGTATGTCGAATGTATTGTCTCCATAATGTTTGTGGACCGTCTCAATCTCGGCGTCAGAGGTAAGACCCCGCGATAGTTGAAATTCTCGGAGGAAGGGCTTCTTCTCGGCATCAAGCGCATAGGATAGAGGTGCGAAGGTTCCCTTTTCTGGTGAGTAGAGAAATCGTCTCTTCTGAAAAAGGAACGAGGTTCTTCCGTCCGGCTCCCGCTCCAATTTGCAGATCGCCGATGCACCCGAGTTGACCACGGGAATGACCTTAATCAACGTGGCATCCTCGACTTTTGTAGCTTTGGTCATGGTGAACACAGTCTTCAAGTGAACACTCCATTTTGTTGAGAGCCAAGTCAAAGATTGGAGTGTCACGATTGTTGCGACATAGACAAATGTCCATTCCGAGCCATCGATATAATCATCGTAAAGGTCTTCGTTTAGGTAGAATGCAAAGAAGATCGGCCATAGGATAGTGAAAGGCCATACGTAGGCTTTGAGGAAGACCGGCAAGGGGTTGTGGAGGCTCGCCGTTTGGATCTGGTCGTTATCCACGAGTTTCGATCTGAAATGCGTCAGTGGGAAGATACGACCAGGAGAGCAGACTGTGATCTAGTACATACGATTTTTGCGCCATGGCGAGCATCAATCAAGAGCTCGACGGTGTAGAAGAATATGGCAGAGGGAGTTGGCGGACAAAGACCTTGAACACAGTGTCCTATCAAAAAAAGTCGGCGGCATTCGAACAAGATGCGACGCTCCGCAGGCAACGTCGGAACCGGGACCTCATCACGTGCTCATACGCCACTCGGCAAATGTTTGCTGTGTTTGCTTGGCATGTTTGCATATTTGTGATAA